ATGTTGTGGGGATGGAGCTGGACTCCCTCAAGGTGGTGTCGGAGAGGCGGATGCTGTCCAAGATAAAGACAATGTTGGATAACACCTCCCACCCACTCCATGACATGTTGGTCAGTCACAGGAGCTCGTTCAGTGAGAGACTGAGATTACCGAAAAGCACCACTGAACGACACAGGAAATCATTCCTGCCTGTGGCCATCTCCCTGTACAACGCATCCACTTAACACACTGTTTGCTGCTACAACTACACATGTTTCTTTTCCAAATATTTATTTATAAGTGACTTATGTATGTATGTATGTATATATATGTATATATTGTACTATTCTTAGTTAGCGTATTGTCTGTCTTGTCTTAATGTTGGTTTAAAATGGAGCACTGTAACAAAAAATAATTTCCCCCAGGGATCAATAAAGTATTCTGATTCTGATTCTGATTCTGATTCTGACCTCCCAGCCCATTGTTCCTTCAGTGGTGCTAGTTTCAGTCAGTGTGCAAATGTCCTGTTTATATGGTTGGAGACCTGCAGTCAGCTGAGACTGAAGACGTCCCCTGATGATGAAAGTTTCTCCTGAAAACGTTACGACCAGGTGTACAGATTCAACCTTTGGGATTTACTTACCTGGATGATTGAGCATGCATCAAGACACTGATCCAAAAGTGATTTCAAAGACCAAATCAACTGTCTGTGGGTTCATGCAGGTCGCTATCAGTGCCATATGTTTAGCTTAGTGGTTACAGTGTGGAGTTAAGCCAGGAAGATAAAACATGTCCAAGTGAGTCCAGGGTTTGAATGTGACATGAATTCATGATGTATATTGTCAAATATGTATTGACAATGTTTGTTTACCAGAGCTGCACAGCTCAGCAGGATGATGAAGACGATGAAGCCCTCAAAGAATTTGTGTTGCACGATGCAGAGGCAGGCTCTCCTGAAGTTAGACCAGACCCTGCCGGTACCCTGGGATGTGTCTATTTCCAGGAACGGACAGCAGATGTAACAGCCTGAAACACATCAGAGGCGTTGCTGACTGATTGGCTTCTGTTCTCTTGATGTAACGGAAACAGCTGCAGTGAAGGAACTTTGATATCATCTCTGTATGTCACAGTTTGTTGAACTTTTAAATTGGGTCTACATCATCCATCAAACTGAGGCACTGAAAACTAAATCATGCACAGAAGAACCAAAAGCTGCAGTTCCTCTAGCAGAGGCTCCAGCAGTGAGCCGGTCCCCATAGATTTAACATGTCCCTATGTTAAAACTTTACAGCACAAATAAACATGTTTACAGCCTGAGACCAAATCCATATCCATAATTTCCCCCTTTCATGACAACTGTAAGAGAGTGAGAGAAGGTTTGTATTGAGCCTTAAAGTTGGCATTATTAGGGGCGTGGCCTCTTTGACTAACAGGTGGATGGTGACACAGGCGGGTGTAGCTGCTAGCTGTCTGCCAATTGCAGTCCCTGAACTGGACCTCTGGACCGTGTTTGTGCTGTTGGAGTCTTTTGGATCATTTTTATTACAATCATCTGACCAATAATATGGCTGCTGTGAGGTTGACTGGACCAACAGACATTCAAGAAGTCTGAGGTCCAGTTTCAGGGACTGAAACTTGAGGATTTTATTTGGATGTTACTGAACACTAATTAGCAGGTATCCGAGTCTGTGTGATCCAAATATGGTGAAACATGAACACGTTTACCAAAGCTCAGCATTTACGTAATTACTCTCACTGCCAGAAGAGGGAGACAAAGGTTTGTCACTGCAGGTTTAAACTATTTTACATATAATAATTTGATATAACAGTGTGTGTGTGTGTGTGTGCTCATACTGTTGCAGCAGCAGTCCTCAGGTTCTGGATGAGTTTCATCTTTACGTTTCTGCATGACGTCACACTGCAGACACAGAAGTTCACAAACATAAATAAACTTTAATGTCCTAGTTACTTTAAAATACTGTCACCGGACTAAGTGTTCACACTCTGAAAGCTCACGCGGTTTATGTCTCGGGTCTTTACTGTGTCTGTGAATTCAGGATGGCTGATTTCAGTCCTGTAAAAGTCTGATGATCACCTTCTTTAAACTGTTGCAGTGATTTTAACATCAGCAGCTGCTGATGAATTTCAAACTAAAACCTGAACTTTACACGGTCCAGTTGTCTGCTTTAAACCTGTGTGCTGTGGATGTGTGTGTGAAAGCATCTCATCGCTGTGTTTCACTCAATTCATCATAAAGACAACTGCAGTTATGCTGAAGCTCTGATGATGCTGCGGTCACATCGAGGGTGGAGAGATGTTCTTCATGCACAGTGATCACAGTGAGGAAAATAGTACTGTGTAATAATAAATAATAATAATGGATTGGATTTATATAGCACTTTTCAAGGCACCCAAAGCGCTTTACAATACCACTATTCATTCACTCTCACATTCACACACTGGTGGAGGCAGCTACAGGTGTAGCCACAGCTGCCCTGGGGCAGACTGACAGAAGCGAGGCTGCCATATCGCGCCATCGGCCCCTCTGGCCAACACCAGTAGGTAAGTAGGGTAAAGTGTCTTGCCCAAGGACACAACGACCAGGACAGAGAGCCCAGGGATCGAACCGGCGACCTTCCGGTTACAGATGCGATTCCCAACCCCCTGAGCCACGGTCGCCCCGTGGCGACACAAACATGTTTATCTGCTGTTCATACTCGAGGCCGAAGCTGCGTCACACATCAGTATTTACTTTTAACATGAAATTCTGCTCTAGGATCAAAAATAGTAGAATCTGCTTTACATGCTGCGTCTCCTTTTCTTCTGCATTTTCAGGCGTCCTAAACTCGATCTCAGCCACAGCGACGGGGGCCTCCCAGGCGGCCATGTTTGTGTGGTTATCATCGAGGGTCAGCTGATCTGAGCTCACAGAGCTTAAGGCCAGATTTTCCTCCTTGTTGTCTTTTTCAGTGTCACCTGCAAATGAGGAAAACATGAAAATATTTTCAAATTAAAAGCTCTAAATCTAAAACTTAAAAAAGACACAGAAATCCAAATACGATCCACAGAAAAAAAATAAACCACTAACAACAGAGTATGTGTGAGGATGACCTGAAACATGAAGGCAACACTGCCTCAAACCTGCAGTCTCTCTAATGTCCAGCAGGTGGCGACTCCTCTGGTTGTAACCTGAACATTTGCAAGTATGAGAAAATGAGCTTCGTGTTCACCTCATCACTCAGCTCACTGATGAATTTATGGTCTCAGTCACTAGTTTGAAGTCTTGTTGAGGAGAAGGAAGGACGGGAAGATTTAAGTCGAGACTACAATCCACTTTACATTTTACTACCAATGAGTAGTGAGCAGAGTCCCTCACTGTCGAAGTCAGATCCAGTTTGTAAACATCCAGTTTCAGGCTTCAAGACAGGACTTCACTAAGTCTTAGTCTTAAGTGTATATTTATTTTTCTACTCCTTTTATATCCATTTATTAGGGTTTTTTGCACTGATGTAACTCGTCGTCTTGTCTTTATATGCTGCACTGGCTGTAGCAGTCAGTGCGCCCCAGGGCAGCTGTGGCTACAATGTAGCTTGCCATCACCAGTGTGTGAATGGGCGGATGACTGAATGCAGTGTAAAGTGCTTTTGGTCCATAGGGGACCAAGTAATGCGCTATACAAATACAGGCCATTTACCATTTGCCATTTAGCGGAGATGACAATAAAGTTTGACTTTGACTAATATGTTACCTCGTTGTGGCTGTGCCAGTGTTATATCTACATTCCATGTTAATAATGCAGACCCCCAAAACAGCAATAAAGTAATGGCACAAAACAAGCTCCTTGGATTACTGTGACCTGGATAACTGAGAACCTACAAAGACAAATATACAAGCAAAAACCACCTTTGTGATCTTGGTCAGCGTAGTTCTTCCCCCACAAAGTCCAGATTCTCTTGGGGATCCAGGTTCTGGTCTGTTTCATGGTACTCTGCAGAATGTTTGTTGTTTTGTCTTCTGAATCCACCAGCTGAACATTGATGAACAATAAATTCAGGAACAGATGTAGGATCTGCAAACAGACCAGGAACTCATTCAAAAACTCTGATTGGACTAAGGTGGACTGGGTCATTCTAGGTTGTTAAGTGTAAAGAGACTCACCAGCAGCTTTCCAACAATCAGGACAATCATGAAGAAGGTCACACACATGCCATCATTCGAGACCTCCATGCAATCCCATAAAGACTCTAAACACAGTCCACACAAGACCCTGAAGACAAGCATGAAGGTGTGGAAAAAGTCTTCCATATGCCAACGAGGAAGCTGGCAGTCAAGAGAAATGCGACAGACGTTAGCTTTGTAGTCCGACTGGAACAGCTGCACGCCCGCCACAGAGAACATGAAGACCGTGATGAAGAGAACCAGAGTCAGGTTCCCCACTGAGGCCCAGACGATCTTCAAAAACATGTGGAGCATCGGCCACCAACGGGCCAGCCGAAACACTCGAAACTGGACAAACAGAAAGATACGTGAGAACAGATGATGATGATGACAGTGATGGTGATGTTATACTAACCGGAAGAAAACTGTGCAGCAAAGATAGACCCTCAACGTCAGCCAGTCCCAGCTGCACCAGAGAAATGATGACGAGGATAAAGTCGAAGATATGCCAGCGCACCTGTAACCACGACAACAAACAATCACAAATGTTTCTTTGAAAATGGCAGATCGCTGAACTGTTGAGAAGAAACTACAAATCTGACCTGGAAGTATCCATGCAGGCCCAGTGCGACAAGTTTGATGATCATCTCAACTGCAAAGATCACACGGAAGACCTGCACAGTTCAAAGGGGTCAGAGGTCACAGGGTAGAAGCATGTTTTGCATCCAATTCATCCAACCATCGGCAGACAGGCGAACGAAAAACCTCGAACACACCGAGTCCCGTGCAGAAGTAGAAGTTCCAACAAAACAATAATTTTCCTGTGAAATGTCACCCATGTAAAGGTAGATCACTCTGACCAGGCATCACTGTTACTGCAAAGACTCACGATGTAAATAAACCTCAGTAAAGCTCCCTCTGAATCCCAGCTGATCCTTACTTTTCTCGAGACTTGCCAGAGGTTTATACTGTACCCCCGTTACATTTTTACCTCACTGTGCTGCTTTTCCTCTCAGTTATGCAGGTCGTTTACAGGTTTGTACCGTTGGTTTGTTACCATTTGTGATGTAATTGCTCTGAGTGGACATTTTAAACCACTCTTGCTAGGTGGCTGAAGAACCCGCTAAAAGCATTCATCACTAAATTGGTCATGGAGGCACATCGAAGAAGAACATATGGTCCCTCCGACTGATCAAGTCTACACCAAACTAAGGGAGCAGAATGGAAAAGTCCTGATTTTAGCCTGCAGTGAAGAAGCTGCCATTAAATTAACCAAGTAGGAGATAACAGGGTCTGCAGACACTTCTTCAACACTCACCAGCTCAGCGATGACCAGGGTCTCCATGAACTCCTCCATCATAGGGTAATGTTCCATGGCTGTGAAGATGGTGCTAACAATGATGCAGATGATGATGACCAGGTCAAAGAAAGGGTTCGTGATAAAAGTGTGAAACTGCTGTTTGAGCCATCGCCAGCAGCCACAACAGTCCCCCTTCAGGAAGGCGTCAGTGCAGGTGCAGCACAAAGGCCGGTGGTGCTCCTCTGCCTCTGCAACACAAAGCTACTCTGTGAGGCCACAAACTGTGTCAGCATTAAGTTGTCTGCAGAGCCTCGGCTCTTCGCGTTTGTCTGTGACTGCTCTCAGTGACAGAGCGTGTTGTCCCGTCCCAATGAAGGAAGGTGGAGGTTAAAGAGGTGGAGGTAAATATCTGTTTACCTTCAACGTATTCTTGCTTAGTAGCTCGTATACCAGCTGATTTCTTCTTCTGCAGTGAGTCCTGTTGCTCTGGAGTCTCTGCCCTGCTGGAAGCCTGCTGTCCATAACAAAACACCCAAACTCAGTTATGCTAAATGACGATTTCAGCAGAGCCATCCCACAGTACTCTGAACAGTTTCCAAACAGGGTTATTTTGTCTCAGAAAGGTCACGGCTGACACAATAAGTTGAGAAGAAGCTGGTGAAAGGTTTTTGGAACAGCTGGATTTTAAATGCTGCCGACAGGTCTGCAGGATTGGTCACATGCTAGACACAGAAGGATATTTAGATGAAGAATAGGACGTGTTTGATATATGAACAGAACTAAAGCCCGATAATAGACCTACTCGTGTTATTCCAGTATATTTTGTACAGGTGTGGAATGTTTTAGCAACACTGGCAACACCTGGGCCTAGTGTGCCAGTGCTCCAAGCTGTCAGAGCTCAGCTGTTGGTGTGGCTCTCCTCCTAGAGACACACACCTTATGGTTATTTTATATTGTTTCTATTGTGTTGTTTACATATTGTTGTGATTTACATTGCTGTGATTGAGAGTCGTCATCTACCCGAACCAAATTCCTCGTATGTGTCTGCGCATATACACGGCCAATAAAGGCGACTCTGATCTCCCTTTTGTCGTGGCCATGGAGCCCATCAACCTGCTCAATGAGGCCTGTAGAGTCTGAGGTGGGGCTGTTGGACCTCAGCCACAGTAACTGGGGTTTCTCTGTGGTTTCTCTGAGCATCAGTTCTTGCCGTGAATTTGCTGCAATGCCCAGTGTGGTATCATAATGAATCATTTGTTTATATATGCATAGTTGCAGTCTTACACGCCTCTCTGCAGCTTCTCTCCTCCTGCTACCCCCCCAAAAACCCATCTCCATAGAGACTGTGTCAGCTCCCAAACAGACAAAAAACAAACTAAAAACCATCAACAAACAACTTAAACATAAACAATTACAAAGAAAGAACAATACAGTATCCACATCTGAACCAAAGAGTAAAACAGTGAAATGTGGATTATTAAATATTAGGTCTTTCTCCTCCAAGTCTCTGTTAGTACATGACTTAATAATTGATCAACAAATTGATTTACTCTGCCTTACAGAAACCTGGTTGCAGCAGGATGATTATGTTAGTTTAAATGAATCAACACCCCCGAGTCATTCTAACTACCAGAAATCTCGAAGCACAGGCCGAGGGGGAGGTGTGGCAGCAAATTTTCACACCAACCTATTAATTAATGAAAGACCAAGACAGACTTTTAATTCATTTGAAAGCCTGATGCTTCGCCTCGTCCACCCTAGCTGTAAACTCAGAAACCAGTCTTACTTGTTATCATCTATCGTCCACCTGGGCCTTACACAGAGTTTCTGTCTGATTTCTCAGACTTCATATCTAATTTAGTTCTGAGCTCAGATAAAATCATTATTGTGGGTGATTTTAACATCCATGTAGATGCTAAAAATGACAGCCTCAACATGGCATTTAGTCTGTTATTAAACTCAATTGGTTTCTCTCAAAATGTAAAAGAACCCACCCACCACTTTAATCACACTCTAGATCTTGTTTTAACATATGGCATAGAAACTGAACATTTAACAGTGTTTCCTGAAAACCCTCTCCTGTCTGATCATTTCCTGATAACATTTACATGGGGCAGGGATAGCTCAGTAGGTAAAGTGGTCGCCCCATGATCGGAAGGTCGGCGGTTCGAATCCACTTAACGGCTACCCTGAGGTACCCCTGAGCAAGGTACCGTCCCTACACACTGCTCCCCGGGCGCCTGCTTAGTGGGCTGCCCACTGCTTCACTGAGTGAATGGGTCAAATGCAGAGAAAAACAAGTAATTTCCCCATGGGGATCAATAAAGTATCCATTATTATTATTATTATTATTATTTACAATAATTGATTACACAGCGGTGGAGAGTAGACTTTATCAAAGTAGATGTCTTTCTGAAAGCGCTGTAACTAAGTTTAAGAATGTAATTCACCCACTATTAACACCTTCAATGCCCTGTACCAACACAGAGCAGAGCAGCTATCTGAACGCTACTCCAACAGAGGTCAATTAGCTTGTTAATAATGTCACCTCCTCACTACGTACGACTCTGGATACTGTAGCTCCAGTGAAAACTAAGGTCTCTAATCAGAAGTACCTGACTCCGTGGTATAAGTCTCAAACACGTACCCTAAAGCAGATGACTCGTAATCTGGAGAGAAAATGGCGTGTCATAAATTTAGAGGATCATCATTTAGCCTGGAGAAATAGTTTGCTGCTTTATAAGAAAGCCCTCCGCAAAGCCAGAACATCTTACTATTCATCACTGATTGAAGTAAATAAGAACAACCCCAGGTTTCTCTTCAGCTCTGTAGCCAGGCTGACAAACAGTCAGAGCTCTGTTGAGCCAACCATCCCTTTAACGTTAACTAGTAATGACTTCATGAACTTCTTCACAAATAAAATTTTTATCATTAGAGAAAAAATTACCAGTAATCATCCCACAGATGTAATATTATCTACAGCTACTCTTAGTACCATTGATGTTAAGTTAGACTCTTTTTCTCTAATTGATCTTTCTGAGTTAACTTCAATAATTACTTCCTCCAAACCATCAACGTGTCTTTTAGAGCCCATTCCTACAAAACTGCTCAAAGAAGTCCTGCCACTAATTAATTCTTCGATCTTAAATATGATCAACCTATCTCTAATGATCGGCTATGTACCACAGGCCTTCAAGCTGGCTGTAGTTAAACCTTTACTCAAAAAGCATCTCTAGACCCAGCAGTCTTAGCTAATTATAGGCCAATCTCCAACCTTCCTTTATATCAAACATCCTTGAAAGAGTAGTTGTCAAACAGCTAACAGATCATCTGCAGAGGCTTGTTTGAAGAGTTTCAGTCAGGTTTCAGAGCTCATCACAGCACAGAAACAGCTTTAGTGAAGGTTACAAATGATCTTCTTATGGCCTCTGACAGTGGACTCATCTCTGTGCTTGTCCTGCTAGACCTCAGTGCAGCGTTCGATACTGTCGACCATAATATCCTATTAGAGCGATTAGAACATGCTGTAGGTATTACAGGTACTGTGCTGCAGTGGTTTGTATCATATCTATCTAATAGACTCCAGTTTGTGCATGTAAATGGAGAGTCCTCTTCACACACTGAGGTTAATTATGGAGTTCCACAGGGTTCAGTGCTAGGACCAATTCTGTTTACATTATACATGCTTCCCTTAGGCAGCATCATTAGAAGACATAGCATACATTTACACTGCTATGCTGATGACACCCAGCTCTATCTGTCCATGAAGCCAGATAACACACACCAATGAGTTAAACTGCAGGAATGTCTTAAAGACATAAACAGAGGTGGGACCAAGTCATTGTTTTGCAAGTCTCAAGTAAGTCTCAAGTCTTTATCCTCAAGTCTCAAGTCAAGTCTCAAGTAATGTCAGGCAAGTCAGAGTCGAGTCTCAAGTCACTGGTGTAAAAGTCCGAGTCAAGTCACAAGTCTGAAACTTTGAATTTCAAGTCCTTTCGAGTCTTTAAAAAAAGAAAGAAAAAAAAGCATGTTGCAGTTATGCTAAATGTAAATATTAGACCATGTAATTTTAAAATCTGTGTTTTTCTCAACACATGACAAAATAGTGAACTTAGAAAATATACACAAATTGTAAAATTGCACCTCTTTAAAATGCAGCTCAATTAAACCTAGCTCCTAGAATAATTTTCACCGACGGTTCTGAGATAAGCTGCATGTTATTCTTGGATGCGGTTGTAGGACCGGCTTTAAAATCGCATGACAAAAATATCATACACATTAAAAAAAAACTGTATCACCAACGGAGCCTGGACAACATTTGCTAGTTAGATGAAGTCAGCTATCTCATCCTAGCATATTTATATGCATATTTATAATCATACGGTTCTTGGAGTGAGTGCATACACTCATGAAGTTTAGTAACTTCAGGTCACTGTAACAAGCCCAGGTACAGTTTACCGCCGGATGGGTGCAGGACCTTGAGATGCACCGTGTAGAACAAAAGACCATCGTACATATCATAAGTTTACCAGTCTCACAAATTGTCGTCATAAATACACATTCCTTAACCGTTTATTAATAGGACCTTTGAGCTCAACGGTAATTAATTAGTAGTGGAAATAATTTCTGGTAGCATCACAGAAATGTAGCAGTGACAATAATATTGTATGCTGTAATCGTACTGGACAATTAGTGATACAAAAAACCTGTTTTATCCTGTGAATAAAAGTATATGTTTTTGTCAATGTACCATAATAACAGAAGCGAAACGCAATATTGTGTCAGGACAATTCACTATTTATGCACAATAAATAAAGGAGCGACAATTTCTGTTCAGCACCAGACTTGCTTGTAACCTATATCACTAATTATGTTAAGAAAATGACGTATTAACTACTAAAAAACACTGACCTTCGTGTAAATGCTTGGAGCAGACTAACCTGTGAGCTGGAGTGTTCTGGGACGTTATATTTGGTCTTTGAATGGCTGCAATCCAGGACACCTGTCGCCTCTTTGTTACTTCGGAAACATGGCTCGAACAATTTCTCTTCAACGACGTAATCCGATAACAACCGATCTCTTTACCCATCGGCTTCCCGTGGCTGTCATGCGACCGGCTATTGCAGTTAATAATACAACAGCTTCTTGACATTTTTGTGTTTCTTTTTATCGCTGTATAACTGATTTTAATTGAAAGCCTAGTACCGCTTGCCACGAGTTCCCAGAATCCTTTGCGGTTCTACCCGTGAATGACGTCACATTTTCAATCTCTATATAATATGCATGTTAAATTTTATATTTGGGGTGAAATATCAAGTCTTTTCAAGTAAACCGGTTCAAGTCCAATTCAAGTCCCAAGTCATTGGTGTAAAAGTCCAAGTCAAGTCACAAGTCTTAGAACATTTTTTCAAGTCAAGTCTAAAGTCATAAAATTAATGACTCGAGTCTGACTCGAGTCCAAGTCATGTGACTCGAGTCCACACCTCTGGACATAAAGACCTGGATGGCTGCTAACTTCATGCTTCTTAATTCAGATCAAACTGAGGTTATTGTACTCGGCCCTGAAAAGCTTAGAAATATGGTATCTAATTCAATTCAATTCAATTCAATTTTATTTATATAGCGCCAAATCACAACAAAAGTCGCCTCAAGGCGCTTCATAGATACAGAGAAAAACCCAACAATCATATGACCCCCTATGAGCAAGCACTTTGGCGACAGTGGGAAGGAAAAACTCCCTTTTAACAGGAAGAAACCTCCGGCAGAACCAGGCTCAGGGAGGGGCGGCCATCTGCTGCGACCGGTTGGGGTGAGAGAAGGAAGACAGGATAAAGACATGCTGTGGAAGAGAGACAGAGGTTAATAACAGATATGATTCAATGCAGAGAGGTCTATTAATACATAGTGAGTGAGAAAGGTGACTGGAAAGGAAAAACTCAATGCATCATGGGAATCCCCCGGCAGCCTACATCTATTGCAGCATAACAAAGGGAGGATTCAGGGTCACCTGGTCCAGCCCTAACTATATGCTTTAGAAAAAAGGAAAGTTTTAAGCCTAATCTTAAAAGTAGAGATAGTGTCTGTCTCCCGAATCCAAACTGGAAGCTGGTTCCACAGAAGAGGGCCTGAAAACTGAAGGCTCTCCCTCCCATTCTACTTTTAAATACTCTAGGAACAACAAGTAGGCCTGCAGAGCGAGAGCGGAGCGCTCTAATAGGGTGATATGGTACTACAAGGTCATTAAGATAAGATGGGGCCTGATTATTTAAGACCTTGTATGTGAGGAGCAGGATTTTGAATTCAATTCTGGATTTAACAGGAAGCCAATGAAGGGAAGCCAAAACAGGAGAAATATGCTCTCTCTTTCTAGTCCCTGTCAGGACTCTTGCTGCAGCATTTTGGATTAGCTGAAGGCTTTTCAGTGAGTTTTTTGGACATCCTGATAATAATGAATTACAGTAGTCCAGCCTGGAAGTAATAAATGCATGAACTAGTTTTTCAGCGTCACTCTGAGACAGGATATTTCTAATTTTAGAGATGTTGCGCAAATGGAAGAAAGCAGTCTTACATATTTGTTTAATATGTGCGTTGAAGGACATGTCCTGGTCAAAAATGACTCCAAGGTTCCTCACCGCGTTACTGGAGGCCAAGGTAATGCCATCCAGAGTAAGAATCTGATTAGATACCATATTTCTAAGATTTTCAGGGCCGAGTACAATAACCTCAGTTTTATCTGAATTAAGAAGCAGAAAGTTAGCGGCCATCCAGGTCTTTATGTCTTTAAGACATTCCTGCAGTTTAACTCATTGATGTGTGTTATCTGGCTTCATGGACAGATAGAGCTGGGTGTCATCTGCATAGCAGTGAAAATGTATGCTATGTCTTCTAATGATACTGCCTAAGGGAAGCATGTATAATGTAAACAGAATTGGTCCTAGCACTGAACCCTGTGGAACTCCATAATTAACCTCAGTGTGTGAAGAGGACTCTCCATTTACATGCACGAATTGGAGTCTATTAGATAGATATGATACAAACCACTGCAGCGCAGTACTTGTAATACCTACAGCATGTTCTAATCGCTCTAATAGGATATTATGATCAACAGTATCGAACGCTGCACTGAGGTCTAGCAGGACAAGCACAGAGATGAGTCCACTGTCAGAGGCCATAAGAAGATCATTTGTAACCTTCACTAAAGCTGTTTCTGTACTGTGCTGAGCTCTGAAACCTGACTGAAACTCTTCAAATAAACCATTCCTCTGCAGATGATCTGTTAGCTGTTTGACAACTACTCTTTCAAGGATTTTTGATATGAAAGGAAGGTTGGAGATTGGCCTATAATTAGCTAAGACTGCTGGGTCTAGAGATGGCTTTTTGAGTAAAGGTTTAACTACAGCCAGCTTGAAGGCCTGTGGTACATAGCCGATTATTAGAGATAGGTTGATCATATTTAAGATCGAAGAATTAATTAATGGCAGGACTTCTTTGAGCAGTTTTGTAGGAATGGGGTCTAAAAGACACGTTGATGGTTTGGAGGAAGTAATTATTGAAGTTAACTCAGAAAGAGCATCTAAGCAGATTGATACTCTGGATGGCATTACCTTGGCCTCCAGTAACACTGAGGAACCATGGAGTCATTTTGACCAAGACATGTCCTTCAATGCACATATTATACAAATATGTAAGACTGCGTTCTTCCATTTGTGCAACATCTCTAAAATTAGAAATATCCTGTCTCAGAGTGACGCTGAAAAACTAGTTCATGCATTTATTACTTCCAGGCTGGACGACTGTAATTCATTATTATCAGGGTGTCCAAAAAACTCACTGAAAAGCCTTCAGCTAATCCAAAGTGCTGCAGCAAGAGTCCTGACAGGGACTAGAAAGAGAGAGCAGATTTCTCCTGTTTTGGCTTCCTGTTAAATCCAGAATTGAATTCAAAATCCTGCTCCTCACATACAAGGTCTTAAATAATCAGGCCCCATCTTATCTTAATGACCTTGTAGTACCATATCACCCTATTAGAGCACTTCGCTCTCGCTCTGCAGGCCTACTTGTTGTTCCTAGAGTATTTAAAAGTAGAATGGGAGGCAGAGCCTTCAGTTTTCAGGCCCCTCTTCTGTGGAACCAGCTTCCAGTTTGGATTCAGGAGACAGACACTATCTCTACTTTCAAGATTAGGCTTCAAACTTTCCTTTTTGCTAAAGCATATAGTTACGGCTGGACCAGGTGACCCTGAATCCTCCCTTAGTTATGCTGCAATAGATGTAGGCTGCCGGGGGATTCCCATGATGCATTGAGTTTTTCCTTTCCAGTCACCTTTCTCACTCACTATGTATTAACAGACCTCTCTGCATTGAATCATATCTGTTATTAACCTCTGTCTCTCTTCCACAGCATGTCTTTATCCTGTCTTCCTTCTCTCACCCCAACCGGTCGCAGCAGATGCCCCGCCCCTCCCTGAGCCTGGTTTTGCCGGAGGTTTCTTCCTGTTAAAAGGGAGTTTTTCCTTCCCACTGTTACCAAAGTGCTTGCTCATAGGGGGTCATATGATTGTTGGGTTTTTTCTCTGTATTTATGAAGCGCCTTGAGGCGACTTATGTTGTGATTTGGCGCTATATAAATAAAATTGAATTGAATTGAATTGAATTAACAGTTATTATCAGTACAGGCGTCTTAAGTTCATGTTTATTTTTCTGGAGAAGCGCACAGAGTAGGTTGATTGTTGAGATAGGGCATTGTGTGTTGCTATACTGGCGAGGCCAGGAAAGGTGGTTGTTAGGCTGAAATTGTTAAATGTTGCCATTATTGTACTTAAGTTTGTAAGCCTGGCCTTAAACTGTGTGCTCAGAGACATCCTTCTGTTTCTGTTGCCCTCCCCAGCCTGTTGAATGGTGAGGGGGGCTATAGCGTAACTGTAGGCACATCCTCAGCAGGAAGTCACACAAACGTACCCCCATCCACACACACACACAAACATGCTCGCACATGCATATACACACACACACACACACACACGCAGTGTTTTAACCTTTTGTGACCATAGGGTTTTTTTTACAATGGGTGCTTGTGTAAACTGTGTGTCACACAAAAAAAGGCTGCAAGCGGGGGCTGGTTCTTTGGAGTAATCTGAGCTCGAGGGCAGAAGGGCTGCCCCGAGATCCTCCCCTTGCTGTAGCATGTGAAAACCGATCGATTGCTGTTCTGTATTTCCTTCTTTACAGGAATCAGTGTGAACCAGCGGGCCTGCTGTAGCGCAGACCCAACAGCGGTGTTGAGTCTGTTCCAGAAGTCGAGATAAACGTAAGAATTTAGAAGAAGAGAGGGCTGTAAGTTAGGTAGACGTAAAAAAGTTGCACCTGTAACATGTGACACAAGGTTCAGCAAATAAGAAGCAACTTTATTCCCGTGTGTGGATCATTGATTCCTGCTTTTGTTTTTTTGAAGGTGCAGCACCCAGTCCTGGAGAGAAGGTGGTATTGTGTTAGCACACACCTGGATGCTCCACAGCAAACTGACAAAATCTGCTGTTAAAGAGGTGCACACACTTACTGATGACCAACCAATGAACTAAATCTGATTAGACTTGATTAGTATTTGGCTGCTCATTGCCCTCCTAATTCCTGTGGAAGCAATGAGTCCTTACTGACCTCCTCCTCCTCTCTCCTCTTCAGCACCTCCACAATCCGTCCGAACTCTTCTTCTCTTTGTATGGCCTCGGCATCTTGAGTCTCTTCTTGCTCCGCTCGTGTCACAACAACCACTGCCAAAATGAGACTGAGCAGGAAGAAACAACCCGGGAAGAAGACGAACAGAAAGACGATCAGATAGGATTTTCCTGCAGTTCGCAACGTCTGCAAAGGGACAGACAGGTGAGAGAAACAGATGAGACAACCGGAGTACTGGGAGGAGCCTGCATGTGGTCATCGGTGAGTTACTGACCAACTGCATCAGGCCTTCCCAGAAGTCATGCATCATGAGTCTGAAAAGTGACATCAGAGACCAGAAAAACGAGTCGTAGCTGGTGTATCCGAAGTTTGGGTTACTTCCTGCTTTCACACAGGTGAAACCATCTGGACACCACCTGAACACATAAAAAACAGTTTGTTTTTATTGTTGTTGTTGTCAGTGAATGAAAGAGACTCATGTTTACTTACTCAGCGTCTGACTGGTTTCCACACACCAGAGGATCAGGATGTCCAGGAATGTAGTAATAGTTTTCTAGAAGGCAGACAGACATCCAAACCGTACAAACGGATCATATTTCACCTTTCTAATTTAAGGGCAGGGGTGGCAACGATGACAGGTGCTGAAGTCTGCACTACAAAGCCAGCTGAACATTTCTAAACTTTCTAATCGATTCTCGCAGAGCCCCAGGTCCTGATAACATCCCTGGATGAGCACTGAGGGACCGTGCTGCAGAGCTGTCTTCACGGACATGTTTAATACATCACTGAGCCAGGAAATACTCTCAATGACAGATTCAAGGTCACATTTATGCTGCAATTCTCAGCATCTACATTGTTGCTTTTAAAATCTGATAACAACAAATAAAACTGTTTTTGGACCTGAAGACTTTTCCTCAGAGGTTCACCTGATCTCACATGAGATCTCTTTCCACTGCTTTCATTGTACTGTTGGAAGAAGACCTGCGAGTCAGCCATCTGACTGTCTTAAAAGGCTAACCGGCCAATCAGGACGTGGTACGACCATCATACCTGGAGAGGTGGTGTGGTTGTGGAAATCGAACTCTGTCGTGTTTGTGTTCATCGACCAGATGACACATTTGTTCTTCAGGGTTCCCATGAAGAGCTGTAAACCAATCATAGCCAAGATGCTCAGGCAGAACAACGTCAGGATGATGACACAACCAAGCCTCTTCACCGATTGGACAAGAGCTTCGACTGTCTTCTTCAGACCTGTGAAGACAGCCCACGCTGTGAATACAAGTCACATGCACACGCACACACACACACACACATGCATGCGCACACACGCATGTGCATGCACACACACACACACACACATGCGCGCGCACGCACGCACACACACAGACACACACACACACACACATGCATGCGCGCACACACACACACACAGACACACACACACACACACACCTACACACACAGACACACACACACAGACACACACAGACACACGCACGCACACACACACAGACACACACACACACACACACACACACACACAGACACACACACATCTCGGCTGCATGTGAAGATCTTCAGCAGCAGAGAAATCGTCATCAGCACAGCAAACTTCCCCAAATCTACGAACTGTGACACCAATCTGAGACACAGAGTCATCATCACCACCTTCATCATCATCATCATCATGAAGCAGTGATTAAAGCAGCTGTAAAACATAAAGACACATTTACAGCCGAGCAGGAAAAAGCCAAAGTGTGTCGAGCAGAACATACAGAAGCAAAGCCGGTGATGAGGACGTGACAGTTAGTGTCCTAATATAAATCTAAAACCTTTATCAGTGACAAAGGTAGAGGAGACGTACACAGGAAAGCAGAGCAGCACAGCGAGCGTTCAGCTACAGGAGGTTAGCTTGTTACCAAGCCTTAAGAAACATCAAGAGTCTCTGTGGTCAGTTTGCTGGGACAGTGTTTGATGTCATCCTGGATTCAAACACTGAAAGAGTCCCAGACCTAAACAGGGAGTTTCAGTGCCTGAACCAAGGAACAACTAAACTCGAAATATAAGGGTAATAACAAAGGAACGGCCCCGGGGCAGGCCAAGGACATCGTGAAGAGATCTCGGCTTTTCTGCTTAGGCTGCTGTCCCTGCAACCCAGCTTCAGATAAGCAGAAGAAAACTGGATGGATGGATGTGGTGGTGAAAGCAGCAAAAAGATAATTTTCATCTTCACAGCTGGAAAAAGCCCACCTTATTTGCACGGACATGGATCTATGGATATGAGACCACACTGACAAGAACTGTGTTGGTGTAACTGTAAAGGTCACGTCCAGCATTGAGTGGATTCAATCGGTAGATCACATTTCTTGAGTATTTTCTGAGCTGCAGTGAGCCTTGTTATTCAGGACTGAGAGGCTCTTATTGTGAAAGCTCTTTTATACTGTTTCCTGTTTTTTGGATCACGTTAATCTGTAACCAACATTAACCCCCTAAGATCCGAACTCTTCCTCGGCATGCATTTTTAATTTCTCTTTGATATTTGGGCATTTTGGGACCTGATGAATGTAACAATAAAGAATTACCAGATTATTTTTTTTACCTAATTTTTGTTTCTAAGAAAAATGAAAGCCACATATGAGGATATTTGTTTAAAATTTCAATAGAACAGTAGGAGTATAATGTCCTCGTGAGTGGATATCAGGCCGTTGTAGAGCGAAATTGAGTATTTCGGTCTAAATAACCCAAAATGTGATGTCCACACGTGGACGCCAGTTCCTAGGAGGTTAAAGAAGTGATCAAAGAGGAGCTCTTCCATTAACAAACTCACAGTATAAGCAGTCCTAATTGTACCTCATCAATGAGCTTGGAGAGACACCTTCAGCAGCAACAGCTTGATGTGATCATTTTCTGTATGACTAATCAGTCTGGCTCGATTAGGAGCTGGGGCTGCTTACCCTCTTAATTCCCATGAAGGCAATAAGGCCGGACTTGTTTTTTTCTCAGGATCGTCCTGTGAAAACTTTCTTTTCCAATAACTGTACGTGTCGGAGAATCACGGCAGAGAAATAAGTCTCACCAACTTCATGTCAGCCGTTTTCCAATAAATCTAAAACAGATTACACTGAATTTTGTTTTTGCAACCTGAAGTTGCCCCCTGCTGGTCATTAGAAAGAATGCAGATTCATGGCTGTACATACAGTCTGTGTGAGAGTGTGAGGTGTGTTATTGAGCCTTACAGGGTGCTGATGATGATGATGTCCAACCAGTTCCAGGGATCTCTGAGGAAGGTGAAGCGTCCCACACAGAAGCCTCTCGCCACGACTTTCACCAGAGCCTCAAACACGAAGATTGCCATGTACACGTACCTGTTCACATAAACGTGAGACAGAGAGCTTTCACACCAGAGAAGTTTGGGCTCGGGAGAGCCCGAGTGCCCTGGAGGGACTTTCCCTGCCAGATACACGATGGACGGGTGGCAGACATGGAGGATCGTGTGCCTGGCAGGACTGTGGATCGAGGACGCTGAAGATATCTACCTATTCGGAACCATGAAAACAGGGTTCTTGCTGATCGGAGCTGGCTTGGCCCTGGCTTATCGGAGAATTAAGAAAGTGGAACCGGCTGTTCAAACCCCCCCAAGGCTGCCCGCTGGGATTGAAACAATGGGACGAGGCGCGACGTCTCAGAATGGGCTCACTGAGTGCAGCACGGTTAAGAGCTTGGAGAATCTTATGGCTGCCGTGAATACTCAGAATAACACCTCTGAGTGAAAGTTAGATCACATCTTGGAGCAGCTCTCTGCGGTCGTGAGGTCTCAGAATCTGCTCTTTGAGCACAAGAATGACAAGACCACGGAGCGCAAGTTTGATAACATCATGGAGAAGCTCGCGGCTCTGCAACGGGAGATTGAGAGACCAGTGTCGGAGTGTTAAAGAACAGCTTTGAAATTCTCATGAGTTGTCCGCATAAAAGAAAAATCACCATCATAATGCAGCTGTCCCTTCGGCGCCAGATGTCGGCTCAAGGCTGGAGCCGAACAACAACACCCTGATAACGACTGTGTTTAGTCTGTTCCTTCCCATTCCCTACAAGGCCACCTGGGTTGGCTGGAAGACTGTTTATTTAGCCTAGCAGGGCGAAGGACACTGTCTCAGCTGAACTCTGGACACGCACACACATCCCCCGCCCTTTCCAAACGGCTTCGATGCTTGCTCCCTCCTCGGGAACACAGCGGGTCTGAGACAGTAAAGTGCTTCCATTATACAGGGAGTGCAGAATTATTAGGCAAATGAGTATTTTGTCCACATCATCCTCTTCATGCATGTTGTCTTACCCCAAGCTTTATAGGCTCGAAAGCCTACTACCAATTAAGCATATTAGGTGATGTGCATCTCTGTAATGAGAAGGGGTGTGGTCTAATGACATCAACACCCTATATCAGGTGTGCATAATTATTAGGCAACGTCCTTTCCTTTGGCAAAATGGGTCAAAAGAAGGACTTGACAGGCTCAGAAAAGTCAAAAATAGTGAGATATCTTGCAGAGGGATGCAGCAGTCTCAAAATTGCAAAGCTTCTGAAGCGTGATCATCGAACAATCAAGCGTTTCATTCAAAATAGTCAACAGGGTCGCAAGAAGCGTGTGGAAAAACCAAGGCGCAAAATAACTGCCCATGAACTGAGAAAAGTCAAGCGTGCAGCTGCCAAGATGCCACTTGCCACCAGTTTGGCCATATTTCAGAGCTGCAACATCACTGGAGTGCCCAAAAGCACAAGGTGTGCAATACTCAGAGACATGGCCAAGGTAAGAAAGGCTGAAAGACGACCACCACTGAACAAGACACACAAGCTGAAACGTCAAGACTGGGCCAAGAAATGTCTCAAGACTGGTTTTTCTAAGGTTTTATGGACTGATGAAATGAGAGTGAGTCTTGATGGGCCAGATGGATGGGCCCGTGGCTGGATTGGTAAAGGGCAGAGAGCTCCAGTCCCACTCAGACGCCAGCAAGGTGGAGGTGGAGTACTGGTTTGGGCTGGTATCATCAAATGTGAGATTTACAAGGAGGGAAAACAGTACACCTCTCTGAACAGTGTCTGGGAGGCTGTGGTTGCTGCTGCACGCAATGTTGATGGTGAACAGATCAAAACACTGACAGGATCCATGGATGGCAGGCTTTTGAGTGTCCTTGCAAAGAAAGGTGGCTATATTGGTCGCTGATTTGTTTTTGTTTGGTTTTTGAATGTCAGAAATGTATATTTGTGAATGTGGAGATGTTATATTGGTTTCACTGGTAAAAATAAATAATTGAAATGGGTATATATTTGTTTTTTGTTAAGTTGCCTAATAATTGTGCACAGTAATAGTCACCTGCACACACAGATATCCCCCTAAAATAGCTAAAACTAAAAACAAACTAAAAACTACTTCCAAAAACATTCAGCTTTGATATTAATGAGTTTTTTGGGTTCATTGAGAACATGGTTGTTGTTCAATAATAAAATTATTCCTCAAAATACAACTTGCCTAATAATTCTGGACTCCCTGTACTGAAGAGGAGGCAAACACTTCCACCGCAGATCTCTCCTAAATAGACGAGTCACACAAAAGCTGTCTCGATGGACAAACGCCACAACAGGCCTTTTAAGCCGTCTCTTAATTGTCTGTATGACAAATCTGTTCACATATCAGAACATTCTGAGCATTCCTGTCTCGACAACAGCGAGCAAAGTCAGTTTGACCTTTACAGACCTGTGTGTGCTGCTGCTGTCAGACTGAGGACAGACTGAGGACAGACTGGCTCTTTGTCTTTGAGCCTTAGCATGGATTTAGACTTTAAAACCATTCTCATGCTGTGACTCATCGATGCTGCCATCAACAGCCCTGTTCATCACTTAGTCGTGTTTTTCTGCTCCAGATGAAAGATCTGTGTGTGTGTGTGTGTGTGTGTGTGTGTGTGTGTGTGTGTGTGTGTGTGTGTATCTTACTTCACCACAGGAAATTTGAACTCCAGAACACCGAAGCCCAGGATCGCCAGTAGGATGAATATACTGAAGAAAGTGTGAGAGTTCAGGGAAAACTCAGCTCACCTGGTCCAGAGAGCTAAAACCTGACCACACAGAGGCTCCTGACACTATGACATCATAAAGGATATGGATGAAGAAGGGTCTTGATTGCGAGGGTCCTCAACGGGTTGAATGGACTCAGCAGGTAACAAGACGAGTCAGCACTAAACCTGTTAATGATGTTTCCTTTACTGAGAACCATGAAGGTCTGCAGAGAGACAGGTGAGAGACAGACATGTGAGAGACAGACAAGTAAGAGACAGACAAATGGGTGAGGGACAGACAGGTAAGAGACAGGTCAGAGACCTTGCGTGATTGGTAGAAGGGATCTAGATCCTCCAATGGGATGTTGAGAAGCTGAGGGGGCAGGTCCCCATAGATTAAGGGGAGTGACTTTCCAGTCTCCAGGTGAGCAGCTGGTTTGGGCAGGTTTTTCTGAGTTACCTAGGTTACACACAGGACCTTCCCGTCATGCCGTTGATCAGCGTTATCGAGTGCACTTATTAGTTATCAGTTACTGACAGCTGAAAGTTTGATCAGTACCCATTTATTCTTCCACGTGTTTCGCTCCTTTGCCCCAGTTACATGTTGTTGTTGGACTTCCTGTGAGGCCGTCGTGAAGTGTCTGAAGACCTCCGTACCCACAGGTGGCAGCAGAGACACCATCCTGTCATCCTGCAGTGCTGCCCGGATCTTGTTGTCACCTAGCAGCAGGGTTCTACGGGGAAAATAGGGGTGGCATTTTGATGTTTTGATCGGACCATCATGAGACAGGTTAGTTTCACTGTTTGAAACTAACCTGTCTCATGACAGTCCGATTATTTAGAAAACATTCATTAAGTCGTGAGCACTTTGGGATATAAGCCCGAGCTAAAGCACTAAACGGGTTTACTTTAGGGGGGCGCCACAGACCGCACACGTTTAGAAATCAGTTAAATGTATTTGTGTGAAAATAATTTTGTCAGATTTAAGGCACCAGAAATAGGCAAGTAATGCGTTACTGTAATCCAATTAGTTTTTTTTTAATTAACAAGTAATATAAGGGACTACTATTGCAAAAAAGTAATTAGATTACTGTTACTTTCCCATAAGCACGCTGCGTTACTGTGCTACTAAACCGTGATTTTGTTTGTGAGAGTGTCTCATGAGAATGACATAAGCGTGTGCGACATTCTTGGTAACAGACGTGTGAAGATCAACAATGGATAATATGGAGCGATGGAGAAAGTAAGACCACGCAGCGTTTAAAGCGTGGAAGTAATCACATTACTTTCAGTTTAAATCCGTAAAAAGGGACACAAACATTAGCGTCTGCTGTACACTCTGCGTGGGAAGAAAACTCTTTTCTACAGCAAAAGATGAAACTTCAAATCTGAGCGAGCAGAGAGCACGCTGCCACGGGAATGTGACATTCACAGACAAACCACCGGATCCCCCCATGACATGACCGCTGTGGGCAAACCTCCACCCGCCCCACTCCTGCTAAACAGGTGACAATAGATTTAGGAGCTGCTGAATCTTTGATTTTCTGAGCCTGTCAAGTCCTTCTTTTGACCCATTTTGCCAAAGGAAAGGACGTTGCCTAATAATTATGCACACCTGATATAGGGTGTTGATGTCATTAGACCACACCCCTTCTCATTACAGAGATGCACATCACCTAATATGCTTAATTGGTAGTAGGCTTTCGAGCCTATACAGCTTGGAGTAAGACAACATGCATGAAGAGGATGATGTGGACAAAATACTCATTTGCCTAATAATTCTGCACTCCCTGTAAGTTACGTAAGGCTTCCTCTTCACACATTCAGGACTCTTGACGTGTAGTTGTACCTAGAGTGCGTAGCTGTACGTGTGTTTTTTATGTGCTCATTGAGGAAAACTTTGCAGAGATGTGAATGATAAAGAACAAAGGCTGTCTTCAATACAAACTCAATACAAATCCTTTCTGAAATGCTGTGCCGCCCACCTGATCCAGCCCTAACGATATGCTTTATCAAAAGGGAAGTTTTAAGCCTAATTGTAAAAGTAGAGAGGCCTGTCCCCTGCACACTTTGCCCCTCTTTCCTCTCCACTCTCAGATGCTAAAACTCTCAAATAAAGCAAAAAGTAAAAAAGAAGAAACCGTAAAAGAAACATATGAAGCATTAATTTTGATCCATATAACCATAAACCACCTACTTTATGTGCCAATAACACAGTTTTATTTGTGGTATTATTTTTCTTAGTATTTTCTTACTTTTTTTTGCTAAAGCAATGCTTCTAAAAAATATCCTCCATTGTCATAAATGGCCTGTATTTATATAGCACTTTACTAGTCCCTAAGGACCCCAAAGCGCTTTACATATCCAGTCATCCACCCATTCACACACTGGTGATGGCAGCTACATTGTAGCCACAGCCACCCTGGGGCGCACTGACAGAGGCGAGGCTGCCGGACACTGGCGCCACCGGGCCCTCTGACCACCACCAGTAGGCAACGGGTGAAGTGTCTTGCGCAAGGACACAACGACCAAGACTGTCCAAGCCGGGGCTCGAACCGGCAACCTTCCGATTGCAAGGTGAACTCCCAACTCTGGAGCCACGATCGTAATAGTAATAGCATTTTAGGAGTGCAGTTCTACACAGAGGAAGGAGTGCAGGTTTGTGAACCAAAGTCTATCACTGTCCCACACGTTTCACTGAAAACCAGTTTAAATCAGACTTACAGCTGTGAAGGATTCAGCCTCAGCTGATTGGCTCTCCTCAGCAGCGCGCCTCTCTCCTTCGTGCTGCTCCAGAAATCAAAAAAAGACATTTTTCTGTCTTCGGCGTCCCACCTCTCACTGATACAGCTCTGTCTGTCTCTCTGTCTGAATCTGTTTTCAGTGATCAGCTCTCTGCTCCAGCTGTTTGTCAATGGCTCCTCCCACATTAGTTACAAGACACACACAAAGGAACAGAATTGGGAACCGTGTTCTCCCAAAGAGACTCCCACATCCTGATTTCCTGGAAACAGTCTGTCTATCACACACAGAGACACAAACACAGGAATGAAGCTGTTGGTTGTTTTATAAGAACTCTGTTCATCTGTGGATAAAAACATCCACAGATGTTTTTATCATCTGTGGATAAAAACATCCACAGATGTTTTTATCATCTGTGGATAAAAACATCCACAGATGTTTTTATCATCTGTGAATAAAAACATCCACAGATGTTTTTATTCACAGATGATAAAAACATCTGAAAACCCTGAAAACCCATCTGACTGACTAACTCTGCACACTTTCAGCTAGATTTCTTTTTTTTAACTCATTTTTGGCTTCACATTCCTCATCACCTACTTATTATTGCTTAGGTTAATAAGTATGTTTAGGTCGTGTTTCATCCTAAACATCAAACTTTGTCTTCATCAAACAGCTGCTGGCAATTTCCACGATTTCCATAATAAATAGAGTGAATTTGACAAAATTATAAAAAAAAAGTTCACTGCATACTTTCCTATTGTGATATCCACAGGAAAAAAAAAACAACTATGTAATTTTTGGAGAAACTGTGGTGGGATAGAATAGTGTGAAGTTAACACACTTAAAGCTTGAAGTAATTAGTGAATTGGAAGTGCTCTTGTGGCGATTGAGCAAAACAAGTGATTACTCTAGGAAGAAAATTCAAAATAATTTAATAATGTGGTAAGATTTAAATCTGTCTTTCTCTTGTCACGGTAACTTCCTGAGATAAGACTCAGTATGCAAATTAGCTGAAATGAGTGGTGAGAAAGAAGCTTCCTGTGTGGAAACAGAGCAGTGACTGAGGAGGATTACTTGGTGAAATATATAATGTAGGTGAAATTAAGCCCCGTGTTTGCCTTTGCTCTCTGTTGCGTCGTACCCTCAACATGCTGTGTGTTTGTCCAGTTTTCCTGCACCTCGGTTCAAAGTCTTGTTTTGTTTTTGCTTTGCTTTGTGAGTTTTGCCAGCAATAAAGCTGTTTTGAGTTCCAGTCCCGCTCTTTCCTGCCTGCCTGCCACACAGCCAACAATGCCAGTTTCTGGTAGTTGCAGCTCTGAGTGTTTGTTTCTTAATGGTATGAAAAAGATGTCGTCGGAGTGTAAACCAACTGGTCCCAGCTGCAGAACCCTTTGGAACCAGAGAGTGTTGTTCACACATGAAGCCTAGTCATGGAGCTCCAGATATGTTCTAGAAACATATCTATTTACATCCTGTCTCAGAGCGACGCTGGAAAAGTCATTTTTGACCAGAATATGTCCTTCAGTGTACAGATGTGCATATTAGCTTCTCTTCACTGGTTTTCTTTTAAATCCAGAATTACATTTAAGATCATTGTCATCACATGGAGAAGTGAATGACCCTTAACCGCTCTAAGCCATGCAGCTGTAACCTCAGGCTATGGAGAGATGAATGCACTGAACGCCTCTTTTCATTCCCCAGGTGTTTATACACACACTACTGCCGACCATTCAGTTTTGTCTTCTCTCTCCCAGTTTGAGTTGGGTCCTCATTCTGTGCGACCCGCTAATGTTACCTGATGCTACAAAGCTACTGTAACCATAACACGCCTAATTACTGTTATCAGGACAGTGCTAACATTAGCACAACAGTCTGTAGTGAGTTAACCAGGCAGCTGAGTGCATCTTTATTCAGTACAGGGCCCATTTCTCCACTTTCATCACCTGTTGGTCAACAGTCTACATCTCCAATCTCAGTAACAGCCCCCTGAGTTACATTGACATTAGCTAGCTCTGTGCTAATTGATGCTAGCCTTTTCTTTTTGGCCCTTTTTTCTGGTGTTATTTGATAGCAACAGTGAAGAGTGACAGGAAAACAGAGGGAGAGAGAAGACATGCGGCAAAGGATTCGAACCCGGGCCGGCCGCTGACCTGTACAGGCAGCACAGTAGTGGTAATGGCCATAGTTTTGGAAAAACAAAGCTTATTAAATTAATCCAATCTCAGCTGCGGATCACACGACTTCACAGTTACAGGAATTGTCAAATAAAATATTGCAAAAGAAACAAAATGAAAATGGTAAAAAGCCTGTATTTATATAGCGCTTTACTAGTCCCTAAGGACCCCAAAGCGCTTTACGCATCCAGTCATTCACCCATTCACACACCGGTGATGGCAGCTACATTGTAGCCACAGCCACCCTGGGGCGCACTGACAGAGGCGAGGCTGCCGGACACTGGCGCCACCAGTAGGCAACAGGTGAAGTGTCTCGCCCAAGGACACAACGACCGAGACTGTCCAAGCCGGGGCTCGAACCGGCAACCTTCCGATTACAAGACGAACTCCCAACTCTTGAGCCACGATCGCCCCTGAAAATGAAGTAACAATGAAGTAACAGAAGCAAAGATTTTGACCAATCTTACAATCTAAATTAACAAAGGGCGTGCAATATATAGAATACTTTGCTTTCACCCCTTCACGTGTCATTGCTGTAAACTGGAAATATGCAGAATTATATATTTAACCAGGAGTTCAGTTTTACCGACTGCTGGTGACAATCAGGTAAAATTACCTGTCGAAATAAATGAGCAGCAAACTGAGTCTGATTTGATCTTTTTATTGAGATTAACACGAGGATTAAACATGGAAGTAAAAACTATAGAAGAAAATACAAGTGGAGCAGTTCTTGTCTTCGAGACGTTCGGTCACCTTCGATCCT